TTGTCTTAAGCAATGTTTTTAAGCTCCGAAAGACATCCAACATTATTATACGATTGATTGAACTGTAAGCCAATTGGTTGTGCACTTCCTTCTGACCGATCACTTGTTTATTTGTGGCACAAGTATTGCGTGTTATTATAGATCCTAATAAAACAATTAGATATTAAATAAGTTGTCAATTATTGTTACATTAGTTTACCTTTTGTAGAAAATGTGGCCACTGTTCAGATCGGAGATCGGTTTCAAACACGGGTCGAGTTTGAAACCAAACATGAAGTAAAACACCACTACATGTAGAACACCTTTACATCCGTATCAATGATATCACATTTATGATTACATTTTAAGTAATTATTACTTATTCTTCAATTATTTCACAAATATTAAAACGAAGAATAAAGTGTTTCATTTAATCTAAACGAGTTAAATTGTATAATAAAATCAAAAATCCAATGTTTTCCTAAACTTTTAATTAATAATAATTTAATAACACATTTAAAATAAGTAATTAAAAAGTAATTAATCAACAAATCAAAAATGATTATCAGATGACGTGATGAATCACTTGTTTAATAATATAATTATAAATAATGGAAAATTATAGGAAATATATGAGATAGAAATGTGAGAGTGAGAGCGCGTTTCACTTCCTGGCAGCTCAAGTCCTGTCTTTCATGCATTCATCCCATATATCCCATACATCGCTACTCATCTTATGATACTGTAATGCACTGGTATTACCATTGCATCCCATCCCGGATCGCACTCCACCTCTTCATTCATAGTCAAGTCTTGTATTATTTAAATTGAAATGAATAGTATTGTACAATATATTGCATCTTTGAAGAGAGCAGTGCTCTAAACGCATCCCATGTATTCAGTATTCATTAGAACTGAATATTACAATATATATACTTTATAAACATGTAGTGTATGTTGAATAGGGTATAGTGTATACTGTAGTGTATAGAGTAAATGTAAGTTGGGACAAACAGTATATAGTATGATATAGTGGAGTGATGGCTAAATTTAGTCTTAGGCCGAGGACCTCGCGGTATGTGTTTATGTTGTTGATGCGATTACAGTGCTATTACAGTGCCATTACAGTGCCATACAATACCATACAATA